GAGAGAGGGTGTAAGTTGGATATTGGCCTATAGTTATTCAACTCTGTTTGGTCTCCTCCTTTGTGGATGGGGTGACCCTTGCTATTTTGAGTACTGTGGGGAAAGGTGGAGGATTCAATGGATTTGTTAAAGAGTGTTGCAATGATTGGAGATAGCACTTGTGACACTTTTTTGTATATAAAGGGTGGTAAGGTACTTAATCTCCTGCCTTGTTTTTTAGTGCATTGATAATAAGGGAGACTTCGTATGGGTTAGTCGGAGCTAGGAACAGTGTGTTTCGGGTAGTTGCCGGTGAGGTTAGTCATTTGGTGGGGTATCTGAGCTTGGGATTTTATTGGCAAGGTTTTGTCCTATAGTGGAGAAGAAATCATTGAGTCTGTTTGCTGTTTCTGTTGGTGGGAGTTGGGGTTCATCTGATTTTGCTAATTTTATTTCGCTATTTCGTGATATCTTTTTTGTTCCAGAATTTCTGATGGGGTTTTCCAGGTCTTTTTTATATCACCTCGTAAGTTGGATAATCTGTTCTCATAATACAATTTTTTTTTCCCTTCTTATCAGGCTGGTTAGGATTGACGAGTAACGTTTTGTTTGGTCTCTGGTTATGTGACCCATTCTGTTTCTGTTTTTCATATTGGTGTTTTGTATTTATGGATTTGAGAATGCTGGGTGTTAGCCAGGGACTGTTCAGTCTCTTTGCTGTCATCTGTTTAGTTTTTTTAGGGCAGTGCTTGTTATAGAGGTATTGGGTCTTTTTTAGAAAATTATTAATACATTCGTCAATATCTGTATAGATTTCTAGCTCAGTGTGCCAATCAATGTTTGCTAATGCTGTTGTGAAGTTATAATGGCTGCCTCATTGTGAAGTCTGAAGGTGACTTTAGTAGTGTCTTGGGGTAGTTTACCAAGAGTTGTTATGAGGAAAGTAGGGTAGTGGTCTGTGGTATTATCTGTAATTATGCCTGATTTAAAGGGGATATGGTGTTGGTCCAGATGTGGTCAAGTAGGGAAACATAGTCTCTGTAACTCTTGTAGGTTTTTTTTACTGTTGGTAGTAACATACAGTTACTCATTTGTGTTTGTGAATTCAGTAACGTGTGGGTCCTGGTCTTGCAGGAGATTTTATATTGAAGTCACCTGAGAGTAGTAAGTGATCTTTGTTCTGCGTGCATCAGTTATCATTACTTCCTAGATTTTGACTAAATTGGCTAATGTTTGACTGTGGAACTCTGTAGATGTTTATCAATGTGAGAGGTTTTTGTAGGTATTTGGATTTGAATTTAGCTATTATATATTCCCCCATGTTCATCCCTTGTGCAAGTATTAGTGATACATTCTAGTTGGTCTGAGTAGTATATGGCTGTTGCCACCCCCTTGTTGGTCTGGCCTACAGTTGTGTATGGCTGTGTAACCAGGAATGGCATAGACATCTGTACTATCAGGCTTTTGCCAGGTTTTAGTTAGTGTTAATGATGGACATATTGGCATGTAAGGAATTTAGTAATGCTATGAGGTCATCGTAATGCTTGCTTAAAGATCTGATATTGTAGTTAAAGAGTTATGTTGTTGTTGGCACTGAGAAGTGCCTTTGATTGTTCTGCAGTGTAGTTTAAATTTCAGTAACTGTTTGATTCATTTAAGTCATTAAATAAGAGGTTGGTATCAGGATCAATGCTTGTAATCATAGATTTGTAGTAAATCTATAGTTAGAATTAAGTATAAAACAAAGTAAAAAGTCTTTAAGCTAAAAAATAGCACCTGAATTATTTAACAAATGTAAAATAATGAGCTAAGGGACTAATACAATAAAGTGATGATCATATAATAGAGCTTGGGAATGTGATAGTAGGTAGTACTATAAAGGTAATTTTTTAAGTTAGAATTATAGTTTAAATTATAATAAAAAGGGGGCTAATATAGGTTGTGGTGAACAATAAAGTGGTAATCAATAAATGAGCTTTGGAATATAATGGCAAAATTGTGAAACTTATTCTACTTTAGCACCTGAGAATAGCACCTTGATTATTTTAACAATTGTGGATATATAAACTAGGATAGTTATATAAAGCTAAAATAAAGGAGAAAATATATAAGGGACTAAAATTAAGTAATGGTAAGCAAAGTTAAATGGACAGATGGTAGGAATTATAATATAAACTTATAATATAAAAATACAATTTGAAATGGTACTTGCAATTGCACTAGAGTCTGGTATAGGTTGTTGACAAGATCAAGATTATAACTATAGATTAAATTGACAAAATAAAATTCACAATTAAAGTACCAAAAGAATAATAGTAAAAAATCACAATGGTAATGTCTTGGTTATAATATGATAGTAAGATGGTAGACAGGTACCCAGGTACACAGGTACAAAGGATAATACAAAGGTTGGGGTTGAATATAAAAACTTGAAAATTTGGCAACAAAATGTTATGGGAAGTATAAAATAATGTTTAATGTACAAAAGTAAAATTGACTGGTAGTAAAATATGGTGTTTAATAAAATTTTAGTAAGTAATAATGATTACAAAAAAAGTGAAAAAGTAATGTTTATTTCATTCAATATTGCACTGGTAGTTATACTTGAGGTTATATGGCAGTACAAGGTAATTAAGAGTAATCTAGGATAGTAAATGTGGTATTAAAACAGGTAAAGGTAATTAGACAAGTAATGGTTATTAAATGTCAAAAATGTTAAGAGTAAATAGAAATTTTAGTAAAAATGATATTTATTAATTTTAGTAAGTAATATCAATTGATAGTATTTAAAAAAATAAGAGGTAGTAATATGGACAGAGAAAGTATCAATTCAGCTAATGTTCAAGCGAACAATAGTAAATAAGAAAATCACATAAGGTGATTTATGCTTACTAGTAGAATTTATAAGTATAAATACGTCAGAAACAGTGGCACATAAGACGTATATATAGGACCAAAACAGTCAAAGGGTTAAAGTATGGTGTTATGAAAGGCATCCCTATACTGTTGACAGCCTAGTGACATTTGATAAGTGTGAACTGCTCCAGCTAACCCACCTGTATTTGTTATCACTGTTACACACAAACATGTCTTGTCTGTCTGTCTATCTGCCTGTCTGCCAGTCTGTCTCTGCTTATGTGTCTAGCTCTGCTTATCTGTCTGTCTGTCTGCCTGTGTGTGTGCCTGGAGTACATATCAAACTCCTTGAAGAATTATGCTATGACAACTGTTGTGATCCAGATTTTTTTTTTATACTTTTGCAACTGTTTTGTGCAGACCATTCTTTCCTATAAAGGGACTTGAGCATTACACAAATTTAAAGGAATTAAAAAATAAAATTTTAGATTACATTCGGAGCATTACACGTACAACATAGATCTACATTTGGTCAGTTTAATGGTTAAGTGACAATTTTTAGTGAAACCATGTGACAATAGAGAGAAAAAAATCTTTTTTTAGTTGAGTATGTTGTGTTATTAATTGTAGTATATTATGCTATACTGACTCATGTTTCTATTGCAGAAGTATTTTGTGGAAGACTACCAGGTTGTGTCTTGCCAGACACTATTTTTTTCAGTACTTCAAAGAAGCACCAGTGTGTCTTGAACAACAACTGATATTGCAGAAGTATTTTGTGGAAGACTATAAGGTTGTGTCTTGCCTGACACTATATTTTCAGTACTTCAAGAAGCACCATGTAAGTGTCTTAAACAACAAAATGATATTGCAGTAGTATTTTGTGGAAGACTACCAGGTTGTTCTTGCCTGAACTATATTTTCGGGTATTCAAGAAGCACCAGTGTAAGTGTCTTGAAAACAATGATATTGCAGAAGTATTTGTGGAAGATTACAGGTTGTGTTTTGCTGACACTAATTTTCGTCTTAAGAAGCACCAGTGAAAGTGTCTTGAACAACAATTGATATTGCAGAAGTATTTTGTGGAAGACTACCAGGTTGTGTTTTGGCCTGGGACAATTTATTTTCAGTACTTCAAGAAGCACCGTGTAAGTGTCTTGAACAAAAAAACTGATTTTGCAGAAGTATTTTGGGAAAAGATTTAACAGGTTGTATCTTGCCTGACATTCTTCAGTAATTTCAAAAAAAAGGAACAGGCTGTTCTTCTTGTAAATTTTTAATAGCTATTACTAATTAAAAATTATGTTTTGCATGCAGTTATTTTTTGAGGGTTGTTTTCTAGTTTAGAATTTAAAGCAGGGTCTAAGCTGTAGTACTACATCATGACTCAGCTTACTCAGATAAGTTGGCAGTAAATTTGGGCCTATATATGAGAGAATGCATTTATGTGGTAAGTGTGCACCAAAATAAAACAAATCCTGCTCCCACACGGGATGAAAAAAAAAAACTGTGACTATGTTTTGGATTAAAAGAGCAAATTTTCAGTGTATTTTCATAGTTTTTATAGCATTCATGTTTCTTGGTGTCATTGATAGAATAGAAGATGTATTAAAAGAAATTATTTTGATGGATTTTAGTACTGAAAATAGCTGAAATTGAGTTAAGAATAGTAGAAATGTTAAATTTTGCCTATGTTAGTGGGTAAACAAATCAATCACATGTCAATACACATAAAGCTGGGGGTCTGATGTGTGTTGCTGAAGTGCTGATATATTATACAATTTTACAATATGAAATAAAAATCTTTTATTTTTGGTGTGATTAAAAAATCAAAATGAAATTCATCTGTAAAGCCTGGGAATGTAACTAATAAATAGAAAAAAAGTTAGTTAGGTGCCAGGAATGCCTGCATTGATTATTCTGGACCCTATTTTAATTGGATATTTTGAATTTTTGTGTGAAATGGGCCAAATTACCAATTTCCAATCACTTATTGGGAAGTTGAAATAGTTGATCTGGGCAATTTTTTGTGTCAGTAGATAAAATGGAACACTTTACTAGAAAATAGCTAAGAATTTGGTCTAGTGGAATAATTTAATTGGCCAAAAAAACAGGATTCAAAGTGGGCAAAATTGCCAATGCATAAATATCTTGACACAGCAAAATTTGCAGGAGACAACTTTGTCAGTTCTTTATCAAATTTTGTACTTTTTATTTTATTACTTTCAGAAAAAGATTCTCTACAATTTCATAAGAAAAAATAATATTTTTTAGATCCTGTGGGGAATTTTCAGATTTGGGGTCTGAACCCTCAAATGATTAATAAAAGAATACAAGTTAGCAATTTCGTAATTAAAATTTTCAGAAAAGTCTGTTTAAACACAAGAGCAAATAATAATAATAATAATAATAATGTTGAGTGTATCTGCAAATTTCTAGTACATATATTAATCTTTTAACACAAAATAAAAATTATGATAGTTTTTTAAAACAATGTAACCTTTATTAGTGTTCATAAGTAGGAAAAGTTTTGCCTAAATAATTCTTAACATGGGAATATGTTCATAAGGAAGACCAGATGTTTAGTGTCCAAAATAGTTAAAAATCTTGAAATAGACGTGAGTACATAAGGAAGATTAACTATACCACTGTTGCCTTCATTTAAAAAATATGGAAAAACGTAAAGAACATAAACCATATCAATGTTCAGAGTGTCTGAAATGTTTTAGTAGAAAAGAACATCTTGCAAAACATATGAGAGTACATACAGGAGATAAACCATATCAATGTTCAGAGTGTCTGAAATGTTTTAGTGAAAAATGCAATCTTGTGAAACACATGAGACTACATACAGGATATAAACCATATCAGTGTTCAGAGTGTGTGAAATGTTTTAGTATAAAAAGCAGTCTTGTGTCACATATGAGAGTACATACAGGAGATAAACCATATCAATGTTCAGAGTGTCTGAAATGTTTTAGTATAAAAAGCAGTCTTGTGTCACATATGAGAGTACATACAGGAGATAAACCATATCAGTGTTCAGAGTGTCTGAAATGTTTTAGTAGAAAAAGCAGTCTTGTGTCACATATGAGAGTACATACAGGAGATAAACCATATCAATGTTCAGAGTGTCTGAAATGTTTTAGTGTAAAAAGATATCTTGTCAAACATACGAGAGTACATACAGGATATAAACCATATCAGTGTTCAGAGTGTCTGAAATGTTTTAGTGAAAAAAGCAGTCTTGTGTCACATATGAGAGTACATACAGGAGATAAACCATATCAATGTTCTGAGTGTCTGAAATGTTTTAGTGAAAAAAGAAGTCTCGTGACACATATAAAAGTACATACAGGAGACAAGCCATATCAATGTTCTAAGTGTCTGAAATGTTTTAGTGTAAAAGGCAATCTTGTGAAACATATGAGAGTACATACAGGAGATAAACCATATCAATGTTCTGAGTGTCTGAAATGTTTTAGTGTAAAAGGCAATCTTGTGAAACATATGAGAGTACATACAGGAGGTAAACCATATCAATGTTCTGAGTGTCTGAAATGTTTTAGTATAAAAAGCAGTCTTGTGTCACATATGAGAGTACATACAGGAGATAAACCATATCAATGTTCTGAGTGTCTGAAATGTTTTAGTGAAAAAAGTTATCTTGTGTCACATATGAGAGTACATACAGGAGATAAACCATATCAATGCTCAGAGTGTCTGAAATGTTTTAGTATAAAACACAGTCTTGTGTCACATATGAGAGTACATACAGGAGAAAAACCATATCAATGTTCAGAGTGTCTGAAATGTTTTAGTGTAAAATGTAATCTTGTGAAACATACGAGACTACATACAGGAGATAAACCATAACAATGTTTAGTGCCTGAAATGTTTTAGTATAAAAAGCAGTCTTGTCACATATGAGAGTACATACAGGAGATAAACCATATCATTGTTCATAATGTCTGAAATGTTTTAATATAAAAAGAAATCTTGTGACACACATGAAAGCACATACAGGAGATCAATGTTCTGAGTGTCGGAAATGTTTTAGTGAAAAAGGCAGTCTTGTGACACACATGAGAATACATACAAGAGATAAACCATATCAATGTTCTGAGTGTTTGAAATGTTTTAGTCAAAAAAGCAGTGTGACACATACACGAGTACATTCAGGAGATAAAACACATTAATGTTTAATGTTTCAAAAATATTTGTTATAAATTCATCAGAATATATAAAAGGGATATACCCTAACAGTGTTGAGAGTGAAATATGTTAATGAAATGTCAGTCATACAAATCTTATAAATTCATAGAGGAGATAAGTTGTATTAATGTTCAGAATATCTTATATATTTTATAAAAAGAGCAGTCTTATGTATTCACAAGAGCTAATATAGAGTATAAACAGTATATATGGAAAATACTCTAAGGTAATCTGTTACTGGGGAGTAATCAGAATTTTCTGAAGTGAAATATTAAGGAACAACCTTTGTGAATATTCTGAAGGGGTTTGGGAGCTTTTAAGACAAGCCAATAATTGAACAGTACTTCCCAATCTTTAAAGGAAATTTAGTCCCGGAAATGGGAAGTACAGTGCCTGCATTTGAAGGAGGGGGTTTAATGTTGCAGTTTAAAAACTGTGTGTAACACCCTTCTGGGAAGACGTGATGGAGGGAATTTATGGTGAAAGTTATTTTTTTTCGGGCCTCCCTGCTTGGTGGGAACAGCATTGTGTTAATAAAAAAAATAAATAAATTTCGTACTAAGCTACTTAGACAGCTCAGTGTCCTGCATCTGCCTCTGAACATTCTGTGGAGCCGTTAGGTAAGACCATATGCAACAGTTAGGTAAATTTATTTCAAAATGTTTCGCCTACACAGTGGCTTCTTCAGTCAAGTACAGAAAAATTGATTGAGCAGGCCAGATTTGAAGACAATGTAATCGTCCATCGCCCATTAAAGTTTTGAGGTGGTCAGTCCCTAATCTGGAGAAAAGTATTGTTCATAGTCTGAAAAATATGGAGTTGGAAAAATGGACAGTATGGGCCTGTATACCGCCCCGGAGTGAGATGAGGCCCCTGTAGAGGTAAGAATATGGTCGTTGGGAGGTCACGTCCCTTCAAATTTCCCGCCATTCTCATAGTAGAAATTGTCCAAGTGTTGGGTTTGTACCAAGATACCTTGTGTTGCGTGTCTGACAGATGATATCGAAATGGCGGATTTTGAGAGGGATTTGGGGCTCCCAAGGACCTTCTTAAACCCCTTACTAGTGGACTTCATTTCACTTCCTGGGGTATATAAGGCTCCCTTTCTGTCACTTCAACTCCATATTGTTTCAGACTATGGAACAATACTCTTCTCCAGACTGAGGGACTGACCACCTCAAAACTTTAAGGGTGATGGACTGATTACATTGTCTTAAGTCTCTTTGCTTCTATCAGGTTCTGTACTCGGGTGAGAAGCTACTGTGTAAGCGAAACGTTTTGAAATAAAGATACCTAACTGTTGCATGTATGTCTTACCTAACAACCTGTCAGTATTTTATACCATTTCGATGTTCATTCTATGTGGCCGTCAATGTTATTGCCCTTGGGCTGTGGGAATTAAATAATTGTATTTATTTATTTTTTTCCTCAGACCGAACTAATTACCCCAATCCCCATCCCTATCCATCCTCCCTTTTTCTTTCCTCCTCTTCCTCCCACCCTTCCCTTTTGCCTTCTTTTTTTTTTTTTTTTTTTTTCTCCCAACAGGCACGCTAGTTCCTAGGTAGGGGAAAGGGTACCGGGGTCCATCCCATTCCGTTGAGGTTCTTGGCGGTGGGTGTAGTTTGCCGTGGTATCTGGATTGACTAGGGAATGTCTCATCCCCCTCTGTATCCGGAGGGTGCTTTGGGGGTTCTCGGGCGAAGGGTTTATCTCTGGAAGCCCCTTTTCGATTCGGGGGTGGGGGCCGAAGGAGGTATTTCTTTGTGCGGGTTTCGGCGCCCTCTCTTTTGTCACCGAGGTAGTCGGCAGTTTTTGAAGGTTCTATCCCGGATTGCTGGTTTAAGGCATGGTTGGGTAGGGCCTAGTGTTACGTTGGTTTCCCTTATTTCTTTGATTGTAGGTTCTCACTACAATGGTTTAGTGTTGGGGTAGCCTTTTTTACTTTATGGTCTTATTTGTTAGGGGTTTAATACTTACATCATGGCTGATCATCCTGAGTGTCTCTGATACCCTTTCACCAGCCTCTTCACAGGGTTTTGTAAATACTACTATTTAAAAATATAACTGTATTCTCAATAGATATGTACAGAATATACAATCACAGCCTCCATTTTCAAAACAAAATCTACACACTCCATGCCTGTTCTCCCACATGGTGTGTTCCAACACTTTTCCTTCTCTCTCCCTTTACATAACTCTGGGGTAACCCGTGTTTTGACACACTTTAGTCACCCTGGGTATGGTGGCCAAAACTTAAATTATAAAAACTCACCCCTGGAGCACACATGATGCCCCAAAAGATAGGAGAAGGACCCAGAGATCATGCCAGGTTGAAGGTCAGCCACAGAGAGAGAGAGTCAGAGAGAGGGAGAGAGAGAGAAGCCTACCTAAGCTCCTCCCACCAAAACAAAAGACTGTTGCAAGCACACTTCTCCAGTTACCACAATTCTACCACACCTTAATTTTACTTTTACAAAAAGAAATACAACTTTATAAACTACTTATTTAAATTGTGTGTTTATGTGTCTATAGTATAACCTATTATATTGAGAAAAATAGGTTTGACCCAGCTGCCTCTCAGTCATAAGGTTGATCAGTCCTTCTGACATTTAGAGCAAAGTCCCCATCAATTCAATATAATTAGGTATTATTATAGTAACTGTTACTTATAAATACATGTTGGGTCCTATATCCCCATAACAGTATGGCACGGGTTCCATGCTGCATCTGCGCTACTTGCGGTGCTGAGGTCCTCTTGGGCACGGAGGGAGATTTCTGGCCCTTTCATTCCTCGTATCCCTCCCCGGTCCCCCCTTTTTTTTATTCTTTTTTTTTTATTCTTATTTTCTTTTCTTCTTTTTTTTTTCTTAAAAACAAAAAGAAGTAACCTAACCATGGCAGCCCTAGTCCATGAACCTGCTACCCCCGGGCCCCTTCTTGACACCGCACCCCGTTCTGACCCCACCTCGTCTTTGGACCACTCTTCGGACACTCCTCATGTCTCTGTACCTCTTGCCGGTGCTGTTTCCTCACCCGCTTCAGGTACTGAGGCCTCGACTGACTCCTTCGATTTATCTGACCTTCGCTCTCCTCTGACTATGCTTCCGGCCTCTCCCTCTACGGTGCAGTAATTTTCGAATCGCCGGCCCATTCCACGTCGGACCTACTCTGGTCCCACGCCTAAACGCCAATGACAATTACCTGCTGATGATACTTCTCCACCTTCTCGTTCTTCTCAGAAAAGATCGACATGTCCTTCACTACCTTTCCACGCTTAGTTTCAGACTGCACAATGGACTAAATTCTTCACTTTATGACCGACTTCCTCTACTGCCTATCTTTCTGACCACAGTATTGGCAAGGCACTCCTACGCCATGTTGGTAAAGATATTTCTTTTCATGCTCTTAAGAGCGGTACGCGCATCATCACCATACAGAATGCTACCCAGGCTCATGAGCTTTCTCGTCTTTCCCATATCGATACTGTTCCTGTCACTATTGAAAAGCATCATTCCCTCAATTCTTGTAGTGGTACCGTCATTCTGCCCCATACCATAGTTAAACAAAATTTCCAGACATGTGGCACTGACATTCTTGAACAGCTGGAACTCCAAGATCTCCCAATCCTCAAGGTTGACACTTACGTTCTTCCTGCCCGCGGGCATAGACGATACCCTAGCAATGTGGCTCTTTTAACTTTTGACAGGCGTGAACTCCCATCCTCAATTTATGTAGCAGGACATTGGTTACAAGTTCGAAAGGTGATCCCTACACCGCAACAGTGTAGAAATTGCTGGCGATTTGGCCATCCAGCGAAATATTGCAGGTCTATCGCCGAATGCTCAGTCTGTGGTGCCGATGACCATTCTAATACGTCTTGCAATTGACCTCCCTCTTGCCTTAATTGTCATGAGGCTCACCCTTCGTACTCTCGCGTTGTCAAGTGTATTTAAAACGAGCGGGAAAAAATCTGTTTACTCAAAGAGGCAGAAGCTCTCCCTTATCCCATGGCAGTTTCTCATCTCCACCTCCAAGGGAGACTACCTCGTGTTTCTTATTCCCGTGTTTCAAAACGTCCCCCCACTTCTGGTATCCCATCTTCTGCACCCACCTCTGTGGTTACCTCTCCCATAGTCACTCCTGTAGCTAATTCTTTTGCTGTCCTCGGCTCAGACTTTCCCTACTTCAACGTTCTCAGTCTGATCTCGCTTCTTCGTGTTCTCTCTCACAAGCCTCAGTAGCAACGAGATCTCGTTTGACACCTCCTCCCAATCGTCCCTCTACTTCTCAAAAGTCAAAAAAAGGTCTGTTAACACCTCCTACCCTACTGTACCTTCCTCCCCTGTTCCCTCCCAAGTTTCTTCCTCTTCTGCCACCTCCCAGGTTTGTGCCTCTTCTGTCCCCTTCCACGCTTCTCCAGTTCCCTCCACCCTTTCCCCCCCCCCCCTACCTTGGTACAGTCCATTACAGTTCCAATCTTTACTCATCCTCCCCCTACCATTTCCAATATTGTCTCCCATACGACGTCTCTGAATTCTGAAACACTTGAAGCAATCTCTGAATATATTGCAGAGACCAAACCATCAATGGACACTGATCCACCCTCCGCTCCTTCTCTCTCCTCTACTTCATCTGCACAACTCCTTTCTTCACAGCGCACCGTTCCTTCGCTGCTTGAACGTTTTCCACTGCCTCCGCATGTGGACTTTTCTAACCCTTCTAGTCCGTAGGAAACCCCTTACCTGCGGATTTCAGGTTTCTTTATCATTGCCAATCATGGCCTATTTACAGTGGAATATACGCGGCCTCAGGGGTAATCGGGGTGAGCTTCAGATGTTACTCCCAGTTTTCCCCTGTTTGTGTTTGCTTACAGTAACCAAAATTACACTCTGCTGTTATCTCTCCCATCTCAGGCTATAATTTATTGTATTCTTCAGATCCTTTTCCTGATGGGGCCTTTAATGAAAGTGCCCTTCTTCTACGCACTGATATTCCATACCATCAGCTATTTGTTCGTACTTCGCTGCATTACACAGCAGCCCGTATCCACTTGCATAGGTGGTATACGCTCTGTTCTTTATATCTCTCTCCTTCTCGGGCATTATCTATTCCGGACATTGCCTTTCTTGTTTCGTCATTACCGCCACCGATTCTGTTACTTGGTGATTTTAATGCCCACCATTTCCTCTGGGGGAGTCTCCTGTGTTCCCGTGGCATTCAGTTAG